CGTCGGAAAACATCTGTCTTCGCGAAAAATATTTTCCATGACCACAACACCTGCACTCCCCTCCAGGGATTTTCTCTCATAAGTTTTGCCGGGGGGAGTACAGGTGTTTTTGTGATGAAAAATATTTTTCGCGAAGACAGATGTTTTCCGACTCAGTTTTTCATGCGGAGTCCGAATAAATTAGTTTCAAAGATTTGCTGGTCGGATAAATAGATGAAATCTTGAAATCTCTTGAAAAAAAAGCTCACAAACTCGGTATTTGAGACCCCATTAGTATTTCGACGATTTCGCCACCAAAAATTGAAAACAAAACAAAAATGTAAAGGCGATATTGGTGTTCAACTCGACGAGCTCTATTCAATCATGTACAATATAATGGTATCAGGATATTTTGCTCATGTTTTATCGTCAGTGCACGAACTAAATTAGTGCTCGAGACAGCCAAAAAAACGATAGGTCATCAAAAGGGCTCCTTATACGTCGGGAATTGAAAGCTAACTATAGTAGGTGATAGAGCTCGATGAGCTCTATCTATGGTAAAAATTTAACAGTGATCCATTGTTGCGGCATTGAATACGCCTAATCGACATTTTCTTCATTTTTGTCAGAAAAGCGAGAAAGTCACGTGTTTTAAGATCAGGTCGTTCCACTCAACAATATGATAAAAAATTCTGAATTTTTGTACATAATAGCAGAAATACATGACAGTTACATCTCTCTTCAGTAACTTATCCGATTGGGCTGAAAATTTCAGGGAATACATAACTCACTGCCCTCTACAACATACTAAAAATTCAGCAAAATCTGAGATATCACTCCATCGCCGGTGTCTGAGTCTCTCAGAAACTCACTCTTAAGGGTATATTGACAAACCCTTCCTAAAAAACCGTACAATAATAAGCCCTTGAGGGTATATTACGAAACCCTTCGTCTCAAATCGTACAATAAAAAACCCTTGTATTGGTGTCAGAAACCCTTTTCATCGACAAAAACCCTTGTAGGCAAAAACCTTTTGGCTCAGAAACCCTTGAAGGGTTTGTACCTTCGGCATAAACCCTTCAAGGGTTTAGGAACGATGTTATAAACCGTCAGCGTTTATTATTATACGTTTTTTTTTTCAGTGTGGTCACGGTCCCGGGTCTGGCACGAAAATTATGGTTCTTGGACCTGGACAAAAACTTTTTTGACCGGAATTGGAACGGGGATTTGGACCGAGATTGGGTCGAGAATCCAGACCGGGATCGGGGCCAAAATTTATTTTTAACAGAACCGCAACGAACACGTTTTTATTAGAAATAATGATTTTTACGGCTGTATAAGACTTCTCTTGAATGTCATATTGTCACACTTCATGTGTTATAAATATTCTTCTAAAACACTGGAAAAAACATTGAGTAGAGATAGTCAAAGTGCGCTCGGAACCCGAAACGGGGATAGGATCAGCACCGAAATGAAACTGGGATAGGACCAAGATCAAGATGGAACCGGAATAGAAGCAGGTCCAGGACGGAACGGGATTAGGATTAGGACCGTGATCAGACCAGGATTAAAATCTTTTTTGGCCACGATCGGGGTCGAAAAAAGCTGCTCCCGCTCATATCTTGATCCAAAGTGCTCACTTAAGGGATTTATCTGAGTGATACTATCAAAATACTAAAACAGAAAAAGGTTGCAAAATGAAACAAATTTGAGCGCATTTTACAACATCCAAGATCGGTAGCTCATAGGAGATCCTAAAACCATCGTTTTCCAATATGTCATGCATCAAATATTGAATTTTCCCTGGCAACGCCGGGTACTTCCGCTAGTCAGCGAGTAAAACAAAGTTTCCTTGCAAAACAGATTCATGCTATCCACAGCAGAATGGCAACAACAGGTTTATCAAGCCACTGCCGATCGTCAACATAGCATGATCAGACGTGGTGATTTTATTATCAGTCATGGTTTCTTCGACCAAAAAAGCAATTGAACTAGTCATCGCTGATCAGACAAACTTCTCACACATAAAACTAGACTGACATTGTCCCACTACCGGCACGTACACAGATGCCACACAATCTCTTTTAAAACTATATGATTTTTTGACTTCATAAAGATATTTGCTCACATCAAATAGATCATGAACCGAGAATACCGCTCTTCTCATTCTAGATAAAAACGAGCCTGTATATAGAAATTCGGATTGTGGTAGTTTCTTCTTCTAAACTCACCCTTTAGTCGAAAACTGCCCGCTGCTACTTCGTAAAAGTGAACTCGAGGTCAATCTTTTGATTGATTCCTGAGTAATCTTTCATATGCAGCATACACCACCCGATGAGATCTTTCAAAAAGATCGAAATCCGGATTGTGGTAGTTTCTTCTTCTAAACTCACCCTCAAGATAGTTATCGAACATATGGTGTCTGTTGACAAAAATTGAAAATCATATAAAAACAAGCACCACATGACAACTCCATTTCGGTCGCTGAAGGTGAACATTGTACGAAAGAAAGTTGTTATTTTTGTTCTCACTACATTCTTGCTATCGCATCGTGATTTTAAAATAAGTATGCATTAGAATGAATTTTTTAAACGTTGACAGCGACAACCCGAATCGACACGAAGGAATCGCTTCTCTTTTTCCGTTTTTGTTTGGACAAAACGCTCGCACAACAAATATGTCATCGCTCTATGATCAGTTTGCCCAACTGTATAACCAACAAAATGAGAACACAGCTCAAGCTCAAGCCTACGGTGATCCGCACTTTATCGGTTTCAACAATCAAAACTTCGATTGCATGCCACAAATAGATGCTCTTCTGTTCGCAAACGTGTCCAAACAATTCGAAATACATGCTCGCCATGCAAAAGTTAACTCAACAGAAAATAGCCGAACAGTGATTAAAGCTGTCGCTATTAAAGTAAAAACGCAGGTTATTCAGTACAATGCTACCAATGGTAGTTTGTTGGTAGACGGAAAACCGCCGCAATCTGAAAAGGGCGACCATTATGCCAAACTGGAGCAGATGCAATCAACCATTATTAGACAGAACACGAATAAAATCGATATCTATACGAATTTTGGAGCGAGAATAACGATCTATAACTGTAGTGGTTACAACCTGAACGTCACGCTAACAGTACCTTGTGGGGTTGCTCAAAACGCTGAGCCTAGCTTGTTTGGAAGGCTCACCGGTGATCATGCACGAATTATTCCCGTGAAGGGACTTTTCACTATGCCGCAGCTCAGCAATTGTGAATCTGAGCTATATCCAGGTAAAAGACCTTTAAGAGAAGTTCGCAATGAAGAAAAGTCTAAAGCTTACATTGAGGAGAGGCTACAAAAGCAAGGACTCACTCGAAAAAATCACGAGCCGACTTTTAATAATCTTGTGTTCGATTATCTCAACACTCCAGAGGATGTTCGTGATGAATTTATCGACCATAATATGAATCCTGTACAAGATCAAATTAAAGTGAGGAAGGAGCAGATCCTACGGCAAGAAAAAGCAGGATATGTCAGTGGTTCTTTTGATGTGATTGAACGCGATGAGAGTGGTGGCTATCTGGAACGCCTGGAGAAACGAGTGAGTGCGTTGGAAATGAGATATAAAATTCAACCTGCAACGGCAATGCAGGGTGTGGGTCGTTTGGAAAGCTTAGAGAAAAGAATCAGTGACCTCGAAAAACAGTATCATTGAAAAGACTGAATCGATTACACAGACCTTTTACCATTATCAGTCGATTTTCAAAACTGGATGTTCTTTTTCTCAATAGGTTAGACTTTGCTCGACTGAGAGCGGTTTGACAAGGTTATTCTGTGTCATCTCCATCCATGTTTGTTACTTTAGACAATAACTTTTTGCACACTTTGTGAAGCTAATAAATCAAACAAAAATATCTCACTCTGTTTTATCAAATAACTAGCAAGATACTCACGACTTTGTTTTGGATCGCGTGCACTGAAAGCAATCTGTTTCTCATGAGGGTGAACCTTCTTTATTATTATAGAAACAAAGGAAAAAGTAAAGAACAATAAGAGAAATGAGTATTACAAAATCTCCTTGTAAACAATGGTTTTAGTCTTGGTTAAAGTTTGATCACCGCTAAAGGTGTCTTGAAGTTTTACTTTTATTCCATCTAATGATCGGACACGTGAGACGACCACATAGAATTGGCCGTGACCGAAAACAGGAGTCGGCAGAAGTAGACCCAATTTTTGGAAAGTTTGACCTTGCGATTTGTTTATGGTCATTGCGAAAGGTAGACGAAGGCGAAATTGACGGCGTCAAAGTCTAAATGGTAAAAGAGTGTCCATTGGCACTAAACCAATTCTTGGAATGAATACTCGTTGGCCTTTCGCTCCACCGATG